TCGTTTTAGACCTCTGGTTCTTTGAGCAAATTTGCTCAGAATAATCTATAGATTATGTTTTTGCAATACGCTTTATCGAAAAAAAATTTGACCCGCCCTAATACACACATATATATACAGACACAAATTTTTTATGGACATTTTTGGACTCCTTGTTGTTCATAACTACATACTATGTCAAAAATTTTGGATTCTGAACAATGTACAGACAAAAGTCTGATTTTATTAATATAGATATTGTGATGATTATTTTGACATTGCACATTGAACAATTAAAAATAATATAATGACTTTTATCGCACAACACTAATGTAACTAACTAATTTTTAGTAATTTCCACTTTTTTAAATTACTTAATTTATTTATATTAGCGAGATTAGTGAAGTACATCCTTTCTCAAGAAAACTATCAGTTTCCTTCATAGTTTCTTAATGTAATGTACTACATTGTACTTCCAACGTAAAAGTTACCCGACTACCATCAGAGCGTGTGTCCAAGCGCTCGAACGATTATTGCATTGACACGCTCAATTCCCGGCTGAAAAAGCTTATACAAGAAAATGTAGGGGAATAGTGTCAGGGTTGGACACAGTTTTGGTTTTCTGTTTATAAATATTTTGTTTAGATAAATTCAGTCAATTGTGGTATATGGGTGGAAAGATCTACAAAAGAGGAACACTTTTGCTGTGGACCGTAAATTGATTGGTCCAAAATTAAAAAAGTTATAAACATTTAAAAAAAAAAAAATCTAGTCAGGGTTGGACTTTTCAGTCAGGGTTGGACACTTTTTGAAAATCGAAACGCATTATTGGTAAAAACGTAAAATAACATTTGTAATGTTTTTTATTCTTATTTTTTCATGTTTATCTTTACTTATTGTTTACAAATTGTAAAGCTTCATGGGTTTAAAAAAGGAATGAACTCAAATTATAAAAAATAACGCTTTATTGTTCCCAATAACTCAATGAAATGATGAACAAAATTTATACAATTTAAGTATTATTTTTCTAATATCTTTGGCACAATTTTGCACTGAAATATCAATAAAATAAAATTTATTTATAAATTGTGTCAAATTCATAATTAATATGGGTGTCCAACCCTAACTGTATAAAGTGTCCAACCCTAACTAGAAGCATCATTTTCGAATTGTGCTAACCAACCATAACTAGACATGTGTCGCGATTCGATTTTTCACTTTTTTTCTTCTTAAATTATGTACCCCACAATACATTCAATAAGCTTATCTTGCCGAATTCTTGCTTTTTTTACACATTTTTTAGGTTTATTCACAAGTCAAACAAAACTTTTTTTGTCTCTTCAATTGCACCGAAGTCACAAGAGACGCTACTTTTGATTCTCCAAAAATGTAATGCCACAAAAAGTTAGGTTATACTACTAGAAGATTCGTCACGTACGCACACAGGTGGCGCTAGTGTTCTTATTTAAAAAAAGCCAAGTGTCCAACCCTGACAAGTGTCCAACCCTGACACTATTCCCCTACAAGTTCTTCTACATGTTCATCAATTAACTTCTTGTACAAGAAAATTCGTTTTAAAAAAAAGAAGAATCAACAAAATAGAAAAATTTTATCTTTTTATGCTGGTATTTTTGAAAAAAAAGTTTGATAAAAAATATGACATTAGAACATTCAATCCTCCATCTAATAGAAGAATAATACATTTTTAGGTTAATTATTTAGGTAAATATGTGCAATGTTAATACACAATATGATTAATTACATATCTATTAACATTGTTTACGACTCAACCGATTTGCATGAAATTTGGCACTGTATTAGGTATTAACACAAGTTAGGTTAATAAACATACAGATTTAAAAAATTTTAATTTGATCGAAAGTTATGTCTCTTTTTTAAAAAATTAAAAAAATCGAAAATTTTCAAATTATTCAATTTTTTTTAAATTGCTGCAATATTTTTATAATTGTGTTTTTTGACACAATTAAGTTACTTTTAACTTAATTTTACCATAATTATTGGTAAATCAAAAAAAAATTGAAAAATTAATTTTTGAGCTTAAAAATTTTTTGAAATTAATAGTTTTGTAAAATGTTCTCTTATTTAAAAAAATGACTTCTTTTAGGTCTTTAACAAAGATTTTTATGTAGAATAAAAAAAAAATTCACCTAATAACGCGCGTAATAAGGGAAGCTGGTAAAGAATTTTAAAAATATAACAAGAAAAAATAGAAACTTATGCCGACAACAATTGATTGTTAACATTTAATTAATCCATATTAATAAAATCAGAATCAAACTTTTGTCTGTACATTGCTCAGATTTTAAAATTTTTGACGTAGCCTGTCGTTATAAAGAACAAGGAGTCCAAAAATGTCCGTTAAAAAATTTGTGTCTGTACGTATGTCTGCAATATTTTCTTCCAGTATCATGCAAGGAGGGTTTAAGGGGGGTGACAACCTTTATTTGGACCCACTTAAATTTAAATTATTACACGAGGTTATATTTTTTTCTTTCATCATTTGGGTCTTAAAAACATATAAGGTGGTCAAAAAAAGAAAATTTTAATTTTTGACCTTTTTAGATTTTTTATTTTTTGAAAAAATTAATATTTTTGAAAATCCAAATTTTAATTTTTGACCTTTTTAGAATTTTTATTTTTTGAAAAAATTAATATTTTTGAAAATCCATGCAAGAGATTCTAAAGAATCATTAAAAAAGTGTGGAAAAAATTTGATTTTATTTTTTTGACAATCCTGTATGTTTTTAGAACCCAAATGATGCAAGAAAAAAATATATCTTCCTACGATCATTAAAACGCAAAAGATTCAAAATGAAGGTGTTGACTCCCCTTAAACAATTGAAGTGAAACTTGGCAGTCTCTTAGGTATTAGCCTAACTTCAAATTTTAGCCATTTCCGGTTAAAAAATATTAATTTGTACAGAAGATATGCTACTTTTTTAAAAATTAGAATAATAAAAAATTATTTATTTCTTAATAGATTGTTTCTAAACTTTCTATACTTGAGTATTAAATGATAATTAGACACATTTTAGATTAATTTTTCAAAAATTAAAAAGTTAAAACTGAGATATAGCTATAAAACTGTTTTTGGGGTTAAAAAATCCAAATAACTATTATTGTAACCAAGTGCTTTCAAACTTAATTCAGGGGTATTTTTAGGATCTGTGATTAAGATTTTCACGTCAAAATAATATTCCAAATTGCAAATTTAAAGTCTCTAGTTCAAAAATTTGAGAATCAAAAAATCGAATAATAAGTAATTGTAATAATTGAATTTATGCGTCCTAAAATGAATTTGTTTGTCCAATTCTGAAATTATAAATTACAGATTTGTACCCACACAGAAGCAAATATTCGACGAATGTTATTAAAGAGCCATAGAAAATGCAGTATTTTATCGTTTATAATCATAGTATTCTTTTGAGTGTCTGTATTTTTGTGATCGAATATTCGATTAGATTTTGGTGCTGTGTGGGTGAGATGTATAATTTGGTATAATTAAGTTTAAATCGGAATTTAAGTTTGAGGAAGATGTAAATGAATTCTGATCAATTTACACATGGTCCGGGTGAGAATACTATATACATAGTAATTAAAAAACATAATTTTAGTACAAAAATACTATTAGTCACACGCCACTAGATGTCGAGACCCGTCGAAGGCGGGATCGACAGCTAGTATTTAATATTTTTAAAGTATTTAATATTTTCAAACCTAAACAGTCTCAATGTTCTGAACAAGCTCGAAGACCTACTCACCTTCGATGACTGGATACCGAGAGCCGGACGTAACATCGGACGATGTTGTACATTTCAATACCAGATGGTTAACAGCTTTATCTTTGTTCCCACTTTATCTCTTTCTTAAAACACCACAGCTTTTCTCTTACCATTAACTTTCTTAATCTTATTTTCTGAACAAGGAACGGGCAGAGAAGACTTAACTGGTAACATCACAAATTGATTCCACTTCTATCATCCACTAGCGCGCGCAACTTTTAATTAAAATTTCGTCGACGGTCAAAATTACTACCATTACTCGTTACTCCTCCTAGAGTAATTTCTAAAGAGACTCCACCAGAAGAAGCTTTTTACCTCTTGTGACTGGTATCCAAACTAACATTGGATTCGTATTCAGTGACCCCCAAAACCCCCGAGTAACAAATTTCAAGCAAATCTGGTTGATTTTTAATATTTTTGTCCGCCATCTTGGATCAGATATTTTTAATTTTTTTAATGTCAAATTTGAATTCAGCGACCTCATAAACCCTTATATAATAAGTTTTTGGAACCACATCATGGATTTTTTCTCAAACACGGAAAGGGTTAAAACCACAAAAAGCAAAACTAGTTTTGTTTTTTTATTGTTAATAATAATTCGTAGAGGACGCCAAAGTAGAGCTCTAAAATTTGTAAGGTTTTGCGGTACATTTTTGAAGTTTCAAAAAAGCAGATTAAAGCTAAAAACTTAAAGATTGGGTTAAAATTTGAAAAAGTAAAATATGTTTTGTAGTTAGTGGAATATGTTAAAAAATGTTCGAGAATGTTTCTCTAAAACCCAGGAGCGAGGCGGTGAAAAGTAATGATTGACGGCTGAGTTGTAGGAAAACATGCATGCATCTATGTTAGAAGTCTCTAACTTTTTTCTAACTTAAAATATCTTGTTTTAAAGTCAGCACCAAATTTCTACTCCTCGCATGTCAGCCGTACCGACAAACTCAGCAAGCTGCTTGAGGCTCTGAACTCCCTCATTGTCAGATAGCAGAACTGTTTGGAGCAAGTTTACTATGCCAAGTTGCAAGTTAGCACGGGAAATTTAATGCAGTATTGAGACATATAACGATATATCTACTGTTTGCATTGCAAGTTTGCAGCAAATTGTTTTAGCGAACTTGAAGAAAATTTTTTTAGCAAACGTGAAGAAAACTTGCATCAGATTAATTTGCAATGCTAATTATGATATTTATTATTATATTTTTATTATCTTTAATTATTTAGGTACTTGATGGGTGATCAAATAAGTAGCATAAGCAGTTGTCAAGCTTATGTCAGAGCATTAAGAAATGGTTGTCGATGCATTGAATTGGATTGTTGGGATGGCCCAGACGGGATGCCCTTTATTTTTCATGGACATACATTAACATCAAAAATTAAATTTTTGGATGTTATCAAAACAATCAAGGAGCATGCATTTGCAACATCCGAGTAAGTTAAAAAATATTTGGTTTATAATAATAAATTGTTAATATCTATGCAATTTCATCAACACTTTCTCGCTTAATCTGAATCAGTGGAAATTTTACTGGTTACAGCTGCGCAATGATTTTAATGATTCTAAGTTATTAAAATCTCAAATTTTTTTTATGAACTTGTACAAGAACATGAACGGTTTCATGTACAAGTACTTGTACATAAACCGACACAAGAATATTTACAATAACATGTGGGGCGCTCTACGTGAAGCGGACAACCCCAACCTTGTCATGTAAAAAACGTAATTTTTGCAATGCTGCTATTTCCATTAAAATGAATGAAATAAAAAAAAGTACGGGTGTATTTTGTAGTAAATTTAACGATCTTTAAAGTAGTGGAGTTAGTTTTTAAAATAACTTTAATTTTCATTGAAAAAAGTAAAAATGAAATTTTCAAATTCATTTTTCACGACGTTCGACCATTTTAATTTTTTTTAAATTGCTTAAAAAATTGTTTAAAGTATGTTGATTATGTGTGCCAAATTTCAGAATGGCATCTTTTGTCGTTTAATACTTATTTAATTTCAAAAGCCGTTGTGTTTCAAACAGAAAATGAGTGAATGTCAATTACGGGTTAGACGATTTCAATATATGCAACTGAGTTCACGCTATTGTTAAATTAAGAGACAAGAATTTACTTCAGTTTATAACCACAAAAAATCGTATTATTTTTTAAATTTCATCTTTTAATTATAAATATTATTTCATATTTATCATTTTAAATAAAGAATTCTAATATTAACTAAATGGCGCCTCTAGGTGACCGATGTTTTAATCCGTTCCACATAGCTCGACATCGAAAAGCTAGGGGTATTTCAAAATATTCAAAATACGTTTTATCTTATTAAAAAAATTATATGTGTTTACATATTAACTAAAAAATTTGTTTAAAATATTATTCTTCTATTGAATTAAATTTATTTATTTTTTTATATCTAATTATGGTTAATTATAATTAAGGTTAATTGTATTTAATGCAACACAATTTTTTATTCTGGAAAAAAAATTCAAAAAAATTAACCTTGACTGCGAAATTATTTATTTATAACTTAATTCGATATTTTATATAGGGATTCGAAAGATTTCAAAGAATTTATCGATGAAATGGAACATTTGAAGGACGTTTACGTGTGTTCTTCATGTAGAAATCGACTCCAAAGGGAACCACTTCAGTCAAAAGTTGATGATCTAATAAATAATGATTATGAAATGAGATACGAAAATACGAATAATCAACCTGAGTTAAGAGGGGATAAGCTTACTGTTGAAGAGGAAATAACAGTAGATTCGGAAATTTTGGACCAACTCAAAGAAAAATTTAATGACCCGACTACGTCAAAAAGTGTAAAAACAATGATTCTTACTTGTGCACCTAAATCTTGGAGTGAGAATAAACTTTCCAAAGAGTTTGGAACATCTAGAAGGCAGGCGAAAAATGCGAAGAAATTAGTTGAAAAATATGGCATTTTATCATCACCAACTCCTCGAATTGGACAGCGGTTATCAGTTGAAACTGAAAACCTGGTAAAAGCATTTTATCTTAGAGAAGATAATAGCCGAATGATGCCTGTAAAAAAAGATTTTGTATCGGTAAAACTAGAAGACGGTACCAGGTGTAATATACAAAAACAATTTCTCCTGTGCAACATTGAAGAGCTCTATGAACTGTTTAAGCAAGAGTACCCTGAAATAAAAATAGGATTAGCAAAATTTTATTCGTTGCGACCTAAGCAGTGTGTACTTGCTGGTGATTCAGGTACACATCTTGTGTGTACCTGTACCTATCACCAAAATGTAAAATTAATGTTGACAGGAGCAAATATTCCGTCTCTTACCGCCGAAACCGAAATGCCCTTGCCATCATATAAAGAATGTCTGTAAAAAATTATGTGTGCCAATCCCTCGCCAAATTGCCATTTGATGACCAAAAAATCACCTTCAAGTGAACGCTGTAATTCTTGTCCTGGAACTGATGCTCTTGCAGAACACCTGAGAATGGTCTTTGATGTCAATGATATCTCTACAGTTCAATTTGAACCATGGGTTGGCAACGAGCGCTTTTCAATTGCGACTAAAACACTCGAAACTGGAGATTTTATAGATAGTTTTTGCAAGAGCCTTGACGTCTTAAGACCGCACGCATACATTGCTGATCAACAAGCACTTTATTTCAAGAATCTCAAAGATACAATCAGTGAAGGGGAAATAATGGTTCAATGCGATTTCGCTGAAAATTACAGTTTCGTAGTGCAAGATGCTGCACAGGCGTTCAATTGGAATAATGATCAAGCCACTCTTCTGACGTCGGTATTTTATTACAGAAATGAACAAAAATTAGAGCATGAAAGCATCGTCATGATTTCTGATGATCTGAAACACGATACTGTCAGTTTTTACACCTTATACGAATTCTTTACCAGCATCTTCGAGACAAGGGTTTGCAAATTTCAAAAATCATTTATGTGACAGATGGAGCACCACAGCAATTTAAAAATAGATTTAACTTTGCAAATCTTTCGGTCTATATGGAAGATTTTGGAATCGATGTCGAATTTCATTTTCACGCCACTGCGCATGGTAAAGGGCCATGTGACGGACTTGGAGGCAATCTCAAACGTTTGGCATCTAGAGCAAGTCTTCAGGTGCCTATTGAAAGAGCGATCACGACTCCCAGACGATTATATGATTGGGCAAAGAAGTCTTTATCAGAGACAAATGTTTATTTTTGCAGCAAAGAAGAAATTGATCAGCAAAGAAATAATTTAAAGCCACGTTTCAATGCTGCTGTAACTATCCCCGGTACAAAGATGTTCCATGCATTCATTCCAACTCCGGATGGCATTCTAGTTAAGAAAACTAGCAATAGCGCTACGAGTAAACTGATGCAAGTTTTTAAGTAGAATGTTTTTGTCGAATGCTACAGTACTTTCAATAAATAATACAAGACGATTTTGTATTAAAGTTAATTAAACTGTTTTCTCGAAACAAAATCTGTTTCATTTATATATTCTAATTCGTGTAGTTCTTATAATTTTGAATCTGTATTGTTTTAAAATTAGTTAAAAATCAATTAATAATCAAACTTAATTAAAAAATTAACAAATCAAAAAATAAATAAAAGAAATTAATTAATAAATATAATAATTTAATAAATTAAAAAATAAATAAAAAAAATTAAAATCTATCTTATAAATAAAAAAATTAACTCGATGATTAAAAAAAATAAAGGTTATTTTGTTTTCTAGTAAAAAAACACGGTATTAAAAATCTTGAATTAGTAAAAACTTTTTAATGTAGTGTCCTTCAATTCTATTTAATAGAGTCTCGATTTCTTTGTTTACATTTTTCATTTTAAAAAATATATATTTTTACGGTTATACCTTGAAAAAATAAATTCAAAATATTACATTTTGTGTCACTTGTTTAAACATTACCGTGAACTCAGTTGCATATATTGAAGTCGCCTAACCCATAATCGACAATCACTAATTTTCTGTTTGAAACACATCGACTGTTAAAATTAAATAAGTATTAAACGACAAAAGATGCCATTCTGAAATTTGGCACACATAATCAACATACTTTAAACAATTTTTTAAGCAATTTAAAAAAAAAATTAAAATGGTCGAACGTCGTGAAAAATGAATTTAAAAATTTCATTTTTACTTTTTTCAATGAAAATTAAAGTTATTTTAAAAACTAACTCCACTACTTTAAAGATCGTTTTTACTACAAAATACACGCGTACTTTTTTTATTTCATTCATTTTAATGGAAATAGCAGCATTTCAAAAATTACGTTTTTTACATGACAAGGTTGGGGTTGTCCGCTTCACGTAGAGCGCCCCATGTACAAGAACATGTACATTTTCTTGTATACAAATATTAAATATATGTTCTTGTACAAGATCTTGTGTAAGATCTTGCAAAAGAACTTGTTCCAAATTCTGGTACCAAAATTGTACATGTTCTCACTAGAACAAGTACAAGTCTAGCTGTTGAACATGTTGATTTTCTTGTACAAGATCTTGTACAGGGATTTTCAATAAGGATGAAATTCAGAAAAACGGTACATTGGAAATAAGTTTTCAGCATGGTTGCACATTTTATTAATTAACAAAGTTAATTTGAACAAAATTACAGTTTTGTTTTGATGGCCCATATACTCATATATTTAATATCAATAAATATAATACTAATTTCTAAATCAAAATCAGTGAAATTTCACTTATTAAAAGTTTTGTAGCTGAAGTATGAGACGTCTCAATTCATTATCCGAAATACTCACAGCGCCACGATAGCAGCTTTACATAGGCGTCGCAACTGGGCAATATTTATACTGGTACTTATTAAAGAAGAGGGAAGTATTTCGTTGTAGATGTCTACATTCATTTCAAAAACATTTTGCTTCTTCATAGAGAATAGTTTTCTCTATATTTATTTCTTTTTTAGCAGATGTTTCATAACTATTTTCACGGCAAACGAAAACTACGGGAGTGCACTTGAGTAATCGATTCGAGGAAAACCTAAGAATTAATCAATTGGTTAAAAAATCAGGTATTCACTTGATACTATTGCTTGTCGTAAACTAGGAACATGTAGGACCTTCCTTAGAGAAGTTTCTTGACCTAGGGAGCGCACTGAAGGAAAGATGCGGCCCTGAGCTTCGCCTCTATCTTAAATAATATTAAAACTACAATTTTTTCCTTTTATTTTCTAAAAACTAATGAAATTTTGAAGGAAACGGCACCTTGACGAAGAGACTACGTTAATTTTTCAGTTAGATATCTAAAAAACCTAATTTTCAGTGTTTTTAATTTTTTTTTAATTCTCTAGGAAAAATTAATATTTTCTAATGTTCTTGGGTTTAAAATTATTCATGTTTGGTTTCGAATTTGATTGGCTCTGTCAAATATTCCATTTTTATAGTCTGAATCTTTCAAAATGGTGGAAA